GGATCCAGGGTGGGCTTTTTTAGGAGAGGTTTAATTACAGCTACCTTAAAAGACTGCGGTACATAGCCTGTCTAGACTTTTACATCAGTGAATGATTAAAATAGATAGATACTTATGATAATAACTGAATTAATTGAAATGTAGCAAAGTAGCAGTGTGTAAGAGTCAGGGAGATTTAGTGGCATCTTGTGGTGAGGATTGCAGATTGCAACCAGTTGAACCTGAATTCAATTCAATCTAATCTAATGTAATATTATTTTATTTAATCTTATTCTATTATTTTATTTTATTTCACATCCAACAGTTTTCCCATACAACAATCCATAATTATGTTACTTTAAGTGTAAGTAAATGCAGATCTTTAAACATGAAAATGATCCTTATTTGGTTTGCAATGGTTTTTTTTACATACCTATCAAACTCTGTATGTCACCCTATTTTCCTTTTCTGTCCTTGTGTTTGTGTACATACACATTTTTTGTTTGTTTTATACCTGTAAGGTCACCACTGTTTTAATTTTGCACCATTGAAGGAAATTTAAAAAAAATGAGTAAATAAATTGATTAATGGCTCATTTTAAGGTAACAAAATCACAATTATGATATTTAATTTCTGCCCCTATATCCCCCTGAATCCTACACACTGGATCTTTATTAAAAAGTACATGTAAACTTATCGATTTTGAAAAATAGCTTATTAAAAAAAGTACAAATGACTTTGTTACAGTAATGAGGGTAAATGTTTCTTCCACTCCACTCCTGGTAATATGGTTTGTGTGTGCTCGTCGGTGGGTGAGGGTTAATTAATTCCCAGGACAGCTCCTCACACACACACACACACTATAGGCTCCACACACATTATATGTGATAATAGGCCTTGTAACTGGGGTATTCAAGACTTGTTCCATTCATGCAAAAACCTCCGCCGGTTGCCAAGGGCACGACTCCATGAGGACAGCGTGGAGGACGACTTTTCTCTCCTTGTTTACCTTGAGAGGGATAATCCATAAGGAGAGGGATGAATAATGATGGTGTTTTATTTTGTTATAGATTCCCAAAAAGGGTTCGAACATGTTTTCAAATCCAGATCCCAGATGATCCCGATTTCATCAGAGAGCCATATGCTCAGACTCCAGCTGTTGTTAATATTTAATTGCCTAGCTGTGTATCAAAAGCATGGTGAAATGAATTCTGTGATTAACATGATCATTCCTGTACATTTCCTCCTCTGGGATGTCTGCTGATGGCAATCGTATTAAATCAAAATCCTCATTTTGCTGTGAAGCCTTGGTGTACCTCTTTACATCCCACTTTGACAACCAGTGATGTACAAAATGGAAAAAAAAAACCTGGGAGGCCTTCCTGTGAATGGCTCATGGGAAATGTCAGGGCATATTCCCTTTGTGTTCTGTGTGAGATGAGCCTATAGGAGGAACGGTTGGAAGTGAGTGCTTGAGGCTGGTTTGGCCTTCACTTGACTGGGCAGGGATCTTGGGAGGTCAGGTGGAAAACAGCAGGGGAGCTGGGCTCACGTCTCCTGGGGCCGGTGTGTGAGCTGCAGGCAGGTTTACCTGCTGAGAGGGGGGCTAAATTCAGACCTGCCCTGGGATTTCACAGCGTGATGCTCAACATGTCCCAGGGCCTTACCTGGGAGAGAGAGGCAATAAGTAACTCAGTGATAGATAATTAATACTAAGAGTGAGACGAGGGCGCCATCTTCTGTAGGGAACATGAAGTGCACCCAGTTTTGAGGGAATGGGATTTAACAAGTCAGAGTTTGGCTCCCTCTGCTGGTGAAAGGGAGAGAAACATCAGTGTCTGAGTATATATGTTACACTCTGTTGTGACTCACTTATCTGTTACTAGCTGAAAACAGTGGTTGTTTTTATCGTGTAATTTGTTACAAAATGCCAGAGAAGAGTAAAAATGGCCATCCCAGTTCCCAGAGTTAAATGTGACATATAAAAACATATAGTTTTAGCCAACCATTTGTACAAAAAAAAAACAAAGATATACAGTTTATAATGATATGAAACTGAGAAAAGCAGCAAATCCTCACACTGGAGAAACTGGGAACAGTATTTTGCTGAAAGAAAAAAAGAGACTTGAACAATGTGTCAATCATCAAACTAGTCACCTTTATTTTGTAGTCAATCTACAAATCAAACATGCTAATGTTACTGTTGTCTTTTAGAAAGATATTTTTGTTATGATTATAAACTTTTATCAAATGCAGTCAATGCGGTCGCCCCCCCTGGTGCCGCCTCGGTTGAAAACGCCGAGCTAAAGTGCCCTCTTGAGTGGCGAAAATGAGAGGATGTGCCCTATCAGCTGCCCCCTTGAGTGATGAAAATGAGCTGATGTGCCCTTTTGGCTGCCCTCTTGAGTGATCAAAACAAGGCGATGTGCCCTATTGAATGAAAACGAGCGGATGTGCCCTTTTGGCTGCCCTCTTGTCCCCATGTCATGCAGTAGGTGCCCTTTTTTCCTTTTCGCCCCTGCCCTTCAAACATCCTGAGTCCGTCACTGTTGCAAACCATGGATACGATTTTGTATGTTATTATGTGGAGGATACAACAACAACGCTGTGGTCAGTGGTGTAAGGTAGTTATTATGGGCCCTAGTGCACGCTATCATGCACATATCGTCTGGTTACATGATCAGACACTTGACCTTAGATAACATCACTTCCCTGCAATGCATATCTGTATTTGACAAAAAATACCAAAGAAAATAAGAAATTATTAATTTCATTTAACAATCTTAATTGTTGATTTATGGTTATGGAATAAGCGTCTAATTTTATTATAGATGCTATTGAATATTGTACAAAAAAATAAACATGACATATATAATATAATTACCCTTGTCAAGTGTCAAATGCAAGCACTCAATCCCCTGTTTTCAAAGACCTGGAACATAATACAGGGGCGGCACAGTTGTGTGGTGATTAGCACTGTCGCCTCACAGCAAGAGGGTTCCCGGTTCAATCCCGGGTGTGGGAGCCCCTCTGTGCGGAGTTTGCATGTTCTCCCCGTGTCAGCGTGGGTTCTCTCCGGGCACTCCGGCTTCCTCCCACAGTCCAAAGACATGCAGATTGGGGACTAGGTTAATTGATAAATTCTAAAATTGTCCGTAGGTGTGAATGTGAGTGTGAATGGTTGTCTGTCTCTATGTGTCAGCCCTGTGATAGTCTGGCGACCTGTCCAGGGTGTACCCTGCCTCTCACCCAATGTCAGCTGGGATAGGCTCCAGCCCCCCCCGCGACCCTCAAGAGGATTAAGTGGTTAGAAGATGGATGGATGGATGGATGGATGGATGGAACATAATACATCAAATTATGGTACAGTGAAGGGCAATTTCTGGTTGCCAGCTGGGAGGTGCAGGGGACACATCCCCCTCCATATTTAGAATATGTGCATTTGTCATTTCCTTCATACATTCATGCAGAACAGGCACAATATGGTGCATATAAATTCACCAGAATATAGGAAATCAAGTGTTTGACACTCAAAATTCCCTGGGGGGGGGGGGGGGGGG